CCCGACGTAGAGCCCCCATATTTACAGAACTGACAAATATCCATTATTTTTACTGCTTTTTGGCGGTAAGTACATAAGGAGTCAATACTTTTAACTATAAAATCAATAGTTTACACATACAACTATTCGCTAACAAAAGTGTCAGTAGCTGTCTCCCCCATAAATTGCCTGAAAAAAATCCAGCTACTAGTAAGCTTCATTGAATGTGTCTTAGCCCTCATCTTATAATTAACCGGGAAAAAAGGCACGAAAAAAGGCATGAAATGAAAACGAAACCATTTGAGGTGCTTGTGCATAGGAAACAAGCCATTGGATATCGCTGGCCGAACGTGGTTTCCTCAGTGAGGCAAAATGTCGTAGAAGCGATGACGCAACAATTTCGGCAGAATTTGCGTACTCATTATCACTACTGTCATCCAAATTTTTCACTACAGGCCTAAAATACACCGTACTTGCTGGATTTTCGCGGCAGACAAAGGTGAAAATAGTAAAGACCGCCATATATAAAGCGTTGTAGAAATTTCAGAGAAACTTTAAAAAAAAACCATGATTTATAAATATAATTACATATTATTACATATTAAAAAAAGACAGTGTGCAGCATCAATAACGGTTTTAAGTTTTTAATGCTCAAATGACATTTTTAGCTAAGTAATAAAAGAAGACGAATGAGGGTGATTGATCTTTTTTAAAAAAAGACTAACATTTCTTCGGGGTGCTCCTCCTGTAAATTATCAGCAGCCGTGTAAAAAACTGATGACCCGATCTGGTGTACTTCGGGGGATGTTTCTAAAGGTTGCGAAGAATTTTGCTCGGCAGATGCAGCCAGTTCTGGACAGGAGCCGCTCTGAAAAAAAAAGCCAAACTATAAAGCGCCAAATTTATCAAGCTATAAAACGTGCGTAAGGATGCGACTATTTAAGCGATGTGTAGAAGGAATAATGATAACAGTGAGATGGAGGGAGTGCGCAGAAAGAAAATCACATTTTCCCTTTGCTAAATGCTTCCGCCGGCAAAATCGTTGAGTTGATAACCCATTCAGGAGATGAAACGAACGTCAAGAGAGGCTGACCATCAGGTGATACAGTACTGGCCAAAGCAACTGGAAAAGTTTCCAGCTGCGTACACGGAGATTCAGGCTGTGAACAACAGGAGGTCCAACACATCAAAATTATTGCTACTATTATTATTGTTACTACCATTATTATTATTATTATTATTATTATTGTTATTATTATTATTACTATTACCATTATTATTTTTTGTTTTGTTGTTATTATCGTTATTATCACTATTATTACCGTCGTTATTATTGTTATTACCACCATTATTATTATTATTATTATTATCAGAAAATTTTATTATTACCATTACTACTATTATCAAATTTGAATACCAACCAAACGCGTCGTGAATTCCCAGTACACAAGGTATCATTGCATTAAGAAATGGCCGGACGAATGAACTCTCTCCATCGGGGACCACTGCTAGCTTTGCCAGCGAGTGGTTACGACTTGAAATAGCTTGGGATTGAACGGAGTGCGGTAAAGTATAGGTTTACTGTCAGATCATCTGTTTCCAGTTACTTACACTTTTGGGTGGTGATGGTGGATGGCTCTGCTGCGATTCAAACAGGGAACGCCATTGCATTTGTTCAAATGCAGCTATTAACATTTCACTGAGATATAGATGCATATTCTCCTGGAACACAAGAATATCTTACAAATATTTCACTACAAAAAGTCACTACAGTAAGTGTGGCCGAAAGATAACTGTATTTCTGTGTTGCAAACCAAAGATATTTCTTCATAAGACCCAGAAATTATCTAGACCCACAACTTCCATCAACAATTTTTAGCCTTTTTTGCTGGAAAATCCGCGAAAAGCTGTTGCAAAAAAAAGGAAACTATCCAGGCAGGGAAGAAAGAGGCATATCTTGTCTTGAAAAGCAGATACACAGTAGATGTGTTGCCACACTCAAACTTGACTGCGAGATCGGTGGTGTAGTGGGTAGCACATCCCATCCGAACGTGAAGGGGAGAGGTTCAATCCCCTCCTGATCCAGCAGAATTTTTGAAAAGAGAGACCTTCATGACAACATTCTTTAAAAACACAGAAATGTTTGAATCGAGCAAAACAGGCAGGTGTGCCCGTGTACCGTAATCAGCTTGAGGGATTACTGTAATTTGATCCAAATAATGAGTCATCACCCTACAAAAATTAATATTAACTAGTTCCCCAAATCAAACAACAATCCACAGCCATTCTTCAAAAATTCGGAAACACTTTCACAGTAAGTAGGAAGAAAAATAGAGAAATTTATTTTACAAAAATTTTTTCACCTGTAATTCATGTTAATTCGTGCGAAAACCCACATAATTGATATTTTAAGTCTAAACGATTAACAGAAAACTAACTCGTTCCATATCTCTGGAAATTTGTCGATCTTGCAATCGTAATTCCATCAGAAAACGCTTTGCTTCATCCCAGCTTTCACCAATTGGAATATCATACACAACGTCACATCCAAATGATGTCTGATCCTGAATTAACGCTATTCCTTATTTTGCTGAGAAAATACTTTTTTTGCGAATATAATATGAATATCCCCGCAACTCCACGAATTCCTGGGACATCTGGGGAAGGCTGGCAATTATTAAGTTGAAAACGAAGAAATTAAAGCTAAAACCAAAAAATTCATTTCTCCCATACTAATCGTTGTAGGGAGAAAATTCTCTACACTTTTCGGACCTAATGACTGCTACTTTTTTTACATATCCTAGTGTGAAACAATCTTCGACAAACCGCGAGGAAACAGTCGTAAACGCAAACTCAATTTGCAAAAAAATGAGTAAGGACTGAGGCGGGACAGAATCCTCGTTTTCATAATGGGACGTGACGTGCTAACCACTACACCAACGGGTACTTCTGCCCTGACTGGGAACACTTCTACTGTGTGTTTTCAGCCTTTTTTTGGAGCAAAATATACCTTTCAATGTAGCGATTTTTGTCGGTTTTTTTGCGAGTTTTCGCAACATAAAATTTTCTAATTTTTTAATTCTCAACTTCTCTTTTGTTTTTTCTGTTTATTGCATTCCTTCTTATTATAACTTTCTATGAAAAAAGAAAAGAAAACAACGAACGTGGGCATAATGCGAGGCGCAAAAGCTGCCGCTGGGAGCCGAATGATGACGACGATGCTTCCGAGTACACTTTACTGCATGCGCGGATGACCAATAACCATCTGTAGCTCGTCGTTTCATCACATTTGTCATCTGAAACATTTGGGCAAAGTTTAGCACAGTTCCCTGGAAGTTTTCCCAAAATTGCGAAGGCTCTGTGAAGTCTGTGTCACTGTCGAGATCTAAAATTTTGGATACATGCCACTAGAAAGTCACGCGTTCTCCATACACTTCAAGCCAGCCAACGTAAAGCAACCACAGCTGCGAGAGAGTCCCAAAAAGCCAGAAAAATACCAAATAATAACCTAAACGAGCACGAAATCTATAAGAATTGTAAATCTCATCACAAATCAGATGATAATTTTTGGGCAATTACTAAAACACGGCTCGGCTCGGCTTATGACCCATACACGATTTGCGAAAAATTTTTTCTGTCGAGATTTTTTTGCAAAAAAAATTTTTTTTTCAACGGCGAATGTCCTTACCTCACTGTGGCAAGGGGCGCTGTTGGATGCCGCGGATGGGGTGGTGTATACGGACTTCGGTCCTAGGAGCGACGTTTGTGTTGCGCTCCTGCGCACTTCCTTTTGATTTAATGCAATGTTTTTTTAGGCAACGATGTCAGTGGGGAAATTCCTGGATTCGCTCAATGAGACAGCCGCGGAACTGCCAGACACTGAATTGGCCGACGTCGGTGAAGGTTTGTTCAAAGACTCGTTTTTTTCTCTGCTCACTAGGACTTGATTGCCGGGCTCCGGCCTTGAAGGGGGAGGTTCCCTGTCCAAGTACAACTTAAAGATTTCAGATTCAGCTTCCCA